GCAAATAAATAAATAAATAATACTCACTTAATCCCCCATGTAACTTATCTAACTATGTTATTATTTATGGAAAGCATCTGATCAAGCCTTTTGCTCCCCAAATACAAATCACTTAGCACTCAAAGCATATCATAATCAGTGTGGCATTCTACTTTCTACTTCTAAGGCAATGTTCTAGGTCACTGTTCATGAATACAGGGGCCAGACCTCATGACATACACAAATGCATATGTATGTATATATACCATATACTTATTTTTGCTACAGCACGGATTCTTTAAGCACTTTAGCACCCCCTAGCGGAGCAGCGTATCTCCAACGCTGGAAGGAGTAACATAGGTGTGTACCCTCAAGTTACATGTTACTGGTGGTTTGTTGGCATCTTCTTCAAAATGCAGTTAAACCGCAACTCCCTTTATCCATCACTTACTGGCTATGTTTGTTAGGGACTGGCTAATGCAGGGGTCCACAAACTTTTTAAACAGAGGGCCAGGTCATAGTCTCTCAAACTGTTGGAGGGCCGGATTATCATTTGAAAAAAAAAATGAATAAATTCCTATGCACAGTGCACATATCTTATTTGTAGTGCAAAAAACACTTTAAAACAATACAATAATTAAAATGAAGAACAATTTTAACAAATATAAACTTATTAGCATTTCAATGGACAGTTACAGTGCAATCAAAGAGCATTCTGAACCTCACCAATTATAAAATTGAGCCAAACTTACCACACAGAAGCCCCATGGTCAACAGATGGTCTTGCGACCGGCTCAGGGGTCCCGACGACAGCAAAAGCGCGAGGTGGGCGAGGAGGCTTGGCGCAAAGTTTGACCTTGCGCTGAGATCTCCTCGCCTGCCTCTCGCCCTCACCGAACGGCAAAAGCGGGAGGCAGGCGAGGGGGCTTGGCGCGAAGCTAGGCCTTGCGCCGAGTTCCCCTCGCCCGCCTCTTGCCCCACGGCAAAAGCGGGAGGCGGGCGAGGGGGCTTTGCGCAAAGCTAGGCCTCGCGCCAAGTTCCCCTCACCCGCCTCGCACCCTCACCAAATGGTGAGAGTGCACTCTCGCGCAAAGGAGCTCTCACCTGGCCTGCACCCTTGGGGGGGGAAGAGGTTAGCCGTTTGTTTGTTTTTAAATTTTTATTTGAGAAGAGAAAATACAGTTATATAGACATATAGTATACATTTCCCTCTCTTTTATTTACATTCACCCCTGTGCTCCCTTCTCCAGAGCCATCTCTTTTCTTAAAGTCCCACCAAAATATCAGTTCTTCATTTGGAGGTAAATTCCCATCTTCTTTTTCCAATAATTTTTCTAGAAATTTTCTCCAGATACTTTCAAAGTCATTTTTTTACATAATCCCTTCTTTGCTTTTAAGCGCATCTCAATTTTCAAATCAATGAAATCAAAAAAAGTATATTCTCTCAAATGTGATGCACAGCAGCGAAAAGTGTAATTTGTAGGCTTGGGCAATCCATGGTTCTAAATGGTTCTAAAGTACTTACAAAACTAAAGTTCTGGTGGTGAAAATTTCAGAACTCTAACAAAACTTTCAAAATTTAATTATTATTTCATTATTGGTGATTTTAATGACAGAACCAATTAGGAACTGCCATTTATAATGAAATTTTGAGAGTTTTGTTAGAGTTCTGAAATTTTCACCACCAGAACTTTAGTTATCAGCCAGCACGTCAACGACTTAAATCAAGACATAGTTTTCTTAGATCTACAGAGAAACTCGCTGGAACACCCCAGCAAGCGAGAGTCCAAAAGTGGCAGGCCCAAACCCAGCACCTCAATCCATGGGTGATACCAGATGAGAGACTCCCCCCTGGGCCACACAGAAGACTGGGCGACTTGGAAGGCGCTGAACAGACTGCGCTCTGGCACCACGAGATGCAGAGCCAATCTTAAGAAATGGGGCTACAGGGTGGAATCCTCGGCATGCGAGTGCGTAGAAGAACAAACCACTGACCACCTGCTGCAATGCACCCTGAGCCCTGCCACATGCACAATGGAGGACCTTCTTGCGGCAACACCCCAGAGGCACTCCAAGTGGCCAGATACTGGTCAAAGGACATTTAACCAAATACCAAATTTGCAAAATCTGTGTGGTTTTTTTTCTCTTTTTTTTCTTTTTAATCTCTGTGTTTGTTTTGCTCTGTTAGAATTGTAATACAATGGTTGCTGATGACACGATAAATTAAATACCACCAGAACTTTAGTTTTGTAAGTACTTTAGAACCATTTAGAACCATGGATTGCCCAAGCCTGCTAATTTGGGCATTACAGTTGCTGCTTGCTTACAAATTGCTTCTTTAAACACAAAAGTTATCCAGCAATGGAAAAGAAAGCCTTTGTGTACATCTACATTGTAGAATGAATCCACTTTAATTGCCTTGGTTCAATGCTATGGTTTTACAAGGTCTTGTGCCTTCTCTGCCAAAGTTTGTACCAAACTAAAAATCCCAGGATGACATCCCTTAAAGAGGAGCTCCAAGTGCTCCTAGAGAAGTTTGCCCTTTTGCTTTGGTTCAGCATTACAATTATGTATTACGCAAATCAAATGCGCACCCCCATTTTGACAAGGTAATTTTGTCAAAAATGGTGACCATGAGACTCAAGTAAATATGACATTTTCCTTTGGATAGCTGGGCATCTTTGGATAGCTTTGCAAAGTCCGCCACCCAAAAAAGTAAGGTAAACTTTTAAGGGCTTACCAAACTGGTCGATGCTGCGCAAATACCCAATCAGCGTCCTACCATCTCTGAGGAGAACCAAATGTTTCTCTGTAGGGAAAGAAAGAAAGAAGGGAAAAAGGGAAATTGGGATCACCAACATGTCCAACTCTGTATAGTTCTCACATTAGATACAACCATTATGCATGGGGTGCAGACTCAAAATTAATAAGAATATCAGCCCTGGCCTTGTCTTACTCGACTGCTGGGTACACTTGGAACAATTCCATCAGCGCTGCCTCCAGAAAATGCTGCAAATCTCTTGGAAAGACAAGCAGACAAACATCAGTGTGCTGGAAGAAGCAAAGACCACCAGCATTGAAGCGATGGTCCTCTGCCATCAACTCTGCTGGACCGGCCACGTTGTCCGGATGTCCGACCACCGTCTCCCAAAGCAGTTGCTCTACTCCGAACTCAAGAACGGAAAACGGAAAGTTGGTGGGCAGGAAAAGAGATTGAAAGGTGGACCCAAAGCCAACCTTAAAATCTCTGGCATAGACACTGGGAACTGGGAAGCCCTGGCCCTTGAGCGCTCCAGCTGGAAGTCAGCTGTGACCAGCAATGCTGTAGAATTTGAAGAGGCACGAATGGAGGACGAAAGAGAGAAATGTGCCAAGAGGAAGGCGCGTAAAGCCAACCCCGACCGGGACCGCCTTCCACACATATATATGCACACATACACTCTTATACATATACACATGCACACACAAATATACACACATACATCTACATACACACACATATATACATATACACATGCACCCACAAATATACACATGCACACATACATACACACATATATAAACATAAATATGCATATAGACAAGCACACACATACACACAATATACATATACAAATATAAACATACAAATATATATACACACATATATACACACATACATTCTTATGCACACATACATACATGTGTATATATATATACCCAAGCACACACAAATATATACATATACATTTACATACACACACATATATACATATACACATGCACACATACATACACACATAAACACAAATATGCACATAGACAAGGACACACATACACATAATATACATATACAAATATAAACACACAAATATACACACACACATATATACATACATACACTCTTATACATATACATACATATACACATGCACAGATACATACACACACATATATACCCAAACACACCTACATCTACATAGACTCACATATATACATATACACCCACAAATATACACATGCATACATACACACATATATAAACACAAATATGCACATAGACAAGCACACATGTTTACACAATATACATATACAAATATAAACACACAAATATATATACACATACATATATATACACACATACATACATACACATACACACACAAATATACACACATATACATCTACATACACACATATATACACATGCACACATACATACACACATATATAAACACAAATATGCACATAGACAAGGACACACATACACATAATATACATATACAAATGTAAACACACATATACTCTTATACATATACACATGCACACATACACACACACATAAATAATTATACATATAGACAAGCACACACATATACACAATATACATATAAGCACACAAATATATATATGCACACATATATATATATATACATATACATATGGGTATATCTGTGTGTGTGCATATGTATGTGTGTGTAGATGTGTATATATGTGTGCATATATATATTTGTGTGCTTATATTTGTATATATATATATATATTGTGTATATGTATGAATATATATAAATATATACACGTAAATACACATACATACACACAAATATAAACAAATATGCATATAGAGAAGCACACACATATACACAATATACATATACAAATATAAACACACAAATATATCTATGCACACATATATACACATCTACACACATATACACCCCCATATATATATGGGTATATCTGTGTGAGTGCATATGTATGTGTGTGGAGATGTGTGTGTGTGTGTGTGTGTGTGTGTGTGTGTGTGTATATATATATATATATATATATATATATGGGTATATGTGTGTGTGTGTGCGCGTATATGTATGTGTGTGGAGATGTGTATATATGTGTGCATATATATATTTGTGTGTTTATATTTGTTTATGTATATTGTGTATATGTATGAATATATATATATATACACGTAAATACACATACATACACACATATATAAACAAATATGCATATAGACAAGCACACACATATACATAATATACATATACAAATATTAACACACAAATATATATATATATATATATATATACACACACATACACACACACCCACACCCACGTATATATATATGGGTATATCTGTGTGTGTGCATACACATCTACACAGATCTACACATACACACACATATATATATGGGTATATCTGTGTGTGTGCATACACATCTACACAGATCTACACACACACACACACATATATGTGTGTGTAGATGTGTATATATGTGTGCATATCTATATTTGTGTGTTTATATTTGTTTATGTATATTGTGTATATGTATGAAAATATATATATACACGTAAACACATACATACACAGATATCTAAACAAATATGCATATAGACAAGCACACACATATACACAATATACATATACAAATATTAACACACAAATATACATATACACACATATATACCCAAATATATATATATATATATATATATATATATACACACACACACACACACATATACACACACACACACAAACACACGGGTATATCTGTGTGTGTGCATATGGATGTGTGTGTAGATGTGTACATTTGTGTGCTTATATTTGTATATGTATATTGTGTATATGTATGAATATATAAATACACGTAAACACACATATACACACAGATACACAAATATATATAGACACACACACACACTAAACACACATATATACACAGATACACAAATATATTTACACTAAACCCACATATTACACACTAGGACACAGCAACGCGTGGCAGGGGACGGCTAGTACAAAATACAAATAATATTAACCAAATATGTAATATAATAAAATAAACAAAATACAAATTAATAAAAACAAATGGTTAAATGAATTAAATTATCACAAAAACAATATATTTTCGAAAATGAGAATCCTCTCTGTGTGTGTGTGTGTCTCCCAGACTCACTGTCGATGTCCTGGATGAGGCTGGCCGTCCCCGGCATGTAGTTCATCTTGGCCCCGGAGCCCTCGCCTGAGTGGGCCTGCGACGGAGCCTGCTGCCCGGCTCCCGGCCCGGAAGCACACGCTCCGCCCGGGCAGGAAGGAGAAGGAGAGTACGGCATGGGGGCGGGGCCGGGAAGAGGGCGGGGCCGGACTTAAGTAGGCGGGGTTTGGCGCGTAGGGGGCGTGGTCTTCCCGGGAAGAGGGCGGAGCCTGCTCAGAAGGGGGCGGGGCGGGAGAGAAAGGGCATAAATAGACTATGTCCCTCCATTTTGCTGCTCCACTTTTTAAAGACATAATATCCCTGTTATAATCAGACTGGAAGCCAACACCAAGATTACAACAACATCTATTATAGAACTCCAGTATTATTTATTATTTATTTATATACTGCGCTTATATACCGCAATTCTCAGCCCTTCAGGGCGACTCATTGCGGTGTACAACATGAAGAAAACAAGTGCAAGAAAACAAGACATAGTGCAAAACAGTGGACAATTCATCCTAATCATAAAAACATCTTATCAAACAACAACATCACTACAAAATCACTACTACATTCCGAGTCGTCTCATCGTCAAGCCACAATCCGATCTCATTTCCGCTGTTCCATTCCTATGGTCAATTGCCAGTCATTGCACTTCTTGATCAAATGCCTTCTTAAATAGCCAGGTCTTTAACTTCCTGCGGAATATTAGCAGGGAGGGGGCTAGCCTGATGTCCACGGGAAGGGTGTTCCACAACCGAGGAGCCACCACCAAGAAGGCCCTATCTCTCATCCCCACCAGCCGTGCCTGTGAGGCAGGCGGGATCGAGAGAAGGGCCTCCCCGGAAGATCTCAAAGTCCTTGTGGGCTCATAGGCCGAGAGGCGGTCAGTAAGGTATTTTGGGCCGGAACCGTTTAGGGCTTTATAGGCCAGTGCCAGCACCTTGAATTGAGCCCGGTAGCAGATCGGCAGCCAGTGGAGCTGGTACAGTAGGGGGGTTGTATGCTCCCTACGTCCCGCTCCTATTAGCATCATGGCTGCCGCACGTTGGACTAGTTGGAGCTTCCGGGCCGTCTTCAAAGGCAACCCCACGTAGAGAGCGTTGCAGTAGTCTAAGCGGGCTGTAACCAGAGTATGGACTACCGTGGTCAAGTCAGACTTCCCAAGATACGGGCGCAGCTGGCGCACGAGCCTAAGCTGTGCAAATGCTCCCCTCGTCACCATCGAGACAACGTCATCTGATGACAACGTCATCTGTGCACATTCAGAAGAAGACCTTACTTAATGTATTGTCGAAGGCTTTCATGGCTGGAATCACTAGGTTCTTGTGGGTTTTTTCGGGCTATAGGGCCATGTTCTAGAGCAGTGGTTCTCAACCTTTCTAATGCCATGACCCCTTAAAACGCTTCCTCATGTTATGGTGACCCCCAACCATAAAATTAGTTCCATTGCTACTTCATAACTGTAATTTTGCTGCTGTTATGAATAGTAATATAAATATCTGATATGCAGGATGCATTTTCATACACAGGACCAAATTTGGCACAAATACCCAATACACCTAAATTTAAATACTGGTGGAATTGGGGGAGGATATTGATTTTGTCCTGTGTGAGTTGTAATTGCTGGGATTTATAGTTCACCTACAAAGAGCATTCTGAACTCCACCAACGATGGAATTGAAACAAACTTGGCACACAGAACTGACATGACCAACAGAAAATACTGGAAGGGTTTGATGGGCACTGACCTTGAGTTTTGGTAGTTGAAGTTCACCTACATCCAGAGAGCACTGTGAACTCAAAACAATTATGGATCTGGACCAAACTTGGCACAATTTCTCAATAAGCCCAAATGTAAACACTGGCGGAGTTTGGGAAAAATAGACATTGACATTTGGGAGTTGTGGTTGCTGGGATTTATAGTTCACCCACAATCAAGGAGCATTCTGAACCCTACCAACGATTGAATTGGACTAAACCTCCCACACAGAACCTCCATGACCAACAGAAAATACTGTGTTTTCTGGTGGTCTTTGATGACCCCTCTGACACCCCCTTGCGACCCCTCCAGGGGTCCCGACCCCCAGGTTGAGAAACACTGTTCTAGAGGCATTTCTCCTGACGTTTCGACTGCATCTATGGCAAGCATCCTCAGAGGTAGTGAGGTCTGTTGGAATTAGGACAATGGGTTTATATATCTGTGGAATGGCTGGGGTGGGGCAAAGAGCTGTTCTCTGCTGGAGCTAGGTGTGAATGTTTCAACCGACCACCTTCATTAGCATTTGAAGGCCTGGCTGAGCCTGGGAAAATCTTTTGTTGAAAGGTGTTAAGATGTGCCTGGTTGTTTCCTCACTGCTGTTTTGCTGTTGTGATTTTAGAGTTTTTTAATACTGGTAGCCAGATTTTGATCATTTTCATAGTTTCTTCCTTTCTGTTGAAATTGTCCACATGCTTGTGGATTTCAATGACTTCTCTGTGTAGTCTGACATGGTGGTTGTGAGAGTGGTCCAACATTTCTGTGTTCTCAAACAAAATGCTGTGTCCAGGTTGGTTCATCAGGTGCTCTGCTATGGCTGACTTCTCTGGTTGAAGTAGTCTGCAGTGCCTTTCATGTTCCTGGATTTGTGTTTGGGCAATGCTGCTGCGTTTGGTGGTCCCTCTGTAGACTTGTTCACAGCTGCATGGTACACGGTAGACTCCTGCAGAGGTGAGAGGATCCCTCTTGTCCTTTGCTGAACGTAGCATTTGTTGGATTTTCTTGGTGGGTTTGTAGATAGTTTGTATGTTGTGTTTCCTCATCAGCTTCCCTCTGCAGTCAGTAGTTCCCTTGATGTATGGCAGGAACACTTTTCCTCTGGGTGGATCTTCATCTTGACTCTCGTGGCTTGTTCTTGGTCTTGCGGCTCTTCTGATGTCTTACTTACTTAGGCAATCCCTCGTTGGACGAGTAAGATGGTCTTCCTTGATGACTATTTTTGTGGATTCGTAGGTGGCTGTGGAGCCCTATTCTTGACCCGCATCTTCTCCCACAGTGAAGGCATTGGTTTCCAGGTGGAAGGCGGTCCCGGTCAGGGTTGGCTTGACGCGCCTTCCTCCTGGCACGTTTCTCTCTTTCACCCTCCACTCGTGCCTCCTCGAATTCTGCAGCACTGCTGGTCACAGCTGACCTCCAGCTGAAGCGGTCAAGGGCCAGGGCTTCCCAGTTCTCAGTGTCTATGCCAGAGTTTTTAAGGTTGGCTTTGAGCCCATCTTTAAATCTCTTTTCCTGTCCAGTTGGTTTGTTTTTTCATTTTCTTTGGAAAACGCCTGTGCGTGGTTTTTTTTAATGTGTGGAGGTCAGCGCACAACTGATCGACACACAGTCTTCACAGAGTGAGGTTCCACTGGTGATGTAGTTTGACACAATAACCGTGGCTTCTCAATCTGTTGCAGCCTTCTTCCGCCTTCACAGCCATTGTAACATGTACCATGTTATCCTCTGCCTGCTCCGCCGTTGAGGTCTTTCCGTCTTTGGACTGTGCTTGGTCTGGAACCTCCCCTGCGGCCACTCCTGGGAGTGCACGATTCCAGTCGTTGTGCCCACGGGTTCATTGGAACACGCAAGCCCCCTCACCACGACAAGGTGATAGTCCATCGAGGGGACCTACAAGTCACTCTAAACACCTTTACAGATGCATACGAGAAACTCAGCCTGTCACTGAACATCGAGAAAACCAAAGTCCTCTTCCAGCAGTCACCGGCCAATCCCTCTCCAATGCCAGAAATACAGCTTAATGGTGTAACATTAGAAAAAGTAGACCATTTCCGCTACCTTGGCAGCCCTCTCTCCACAAAAGTCCACATTGACACTGTAATTCAACACCGCCTGAGCTCTGCAAGGGCAGCTTTTTTCTGAATGAAACAGAGAGTGTTTGAGGACATCCATAGAGATACCAAGGTGCCCCAACTCTGGCAGTCTTTAGGGTTTTATATTGCTGACGTGCTACTTATTATGGCATTTAAAATGTCTGTATTAGAGTCTAAGATGTATTGTCGGCAAAATCTATAGGGGTTGCTCTCGAATATGTGCAGGATGGAGTTGCCTAGGTTGACTGACCACCGTATTCTCCATTCTCCAACATGGATTCTGAAGTTCCAAACAGGCAACAGAAAGTCCTCGATCTTTGCAAAGGCTGGCAGATGGAACTCCAGCTGTGCTGCAATAGATTCACACTTTGGTCCTTGGAAAACTAGAATCTCTTCCCAAGGTCCAGGGCCCCTTTGCCAGGCTCTTCCCCGAAGTTCCATGGGAGAACCGCATCAAGTCCCCGGGTCCAGAGCTTGGCAGAGGCGAGAGGCACCGAGGAGCGATGAAGCAGCAGCCATGGAACCAGCATATTTGGCAATCAGCTGTTTCTAATAAAATATATTCTCAAAACTTGAGAGGTTATTTCCTGAGCGTAGGGGTCCAAAATAAGAAAAGCGAGATGGCAGACAAGCTTAGAATTTAGTGCAGAAAAATAAGACATTAAAATGGAGCCGATCCGCCATTTTGTGGATATGGAGATCTGAAAGGAAAAACTCTGTATCCGTGGTTTCAAGCGGTGCGGATTCGGCGTCCCCAGAACGCCAGGAAGGCATTCCGGGCAGGCTCGCAGTCCCCCGCGGCCTGGAAAAGGTTGAATTCATGCATTTAGTTAGTTCAGGCAAGAAGTGACACAAAGTATCAAGCTAGAAAGTTAAAAAGTTGCAATTTCAAGTATCTTTATTAGGGGAATAGTTACAATGTTAGGGCTTGGGGAAAAGTGATAGAAAGGCACAGAGGCTTGGTACAGTCCCTGTTTGAGCTGTCTGTTGGGGCACATTTCTTCAGTTTGTTCCAATTTGGGCTTCCAGGAACTGCGGAACTCTCCGCTGCGGGTCAGATCAACTTGAAGGCGGGGGCCTCTGCTGCCCTTGATGACATCAGGTTGAATCATGTTCAGATGAAATCTCCTTTCTTGTAGTTTGAAGCCATTGTTCCACGTCCTAGTCTCCAGGGAAGCAGAAAACAAGCTTGCTCCCTCCTCCCTGTGGCTTCCTCTCACATATTTATACATGGCTATCCTATCTCCTCTCAGCCTTCTCTTCTTCAGGGTAAACATGCCCAGCTCC